TGTAAGATTAAATGTCTCAGAGTAATAGACATGAGAAGTTACTGTAAGCATAATAAAAAATTAAATGGATTCATGAAAAATAAAAACTTTTTTTGAAAATTAATAAAAAAAAATCATTTTGAAATTTTTTGAATTTATTTAAACTTTGTTGTTGGTTTTATTAACACAAATTATTCAGAAACATATGGCTTAATATTTGTACTGCTTATTTGTATCCTATTCTGAGCATCTTCTACCCAATTTATAAAGTTCTTTGCAAATCTTTTGAATTCTCGTATTGCAACTTTATTTAAGACTTTTGGCTCTTCATCCTGCATATAGTCACTTCTCCTTAGGTCAAAGAATGGTTGAGCAGATATGGAAACAATAACAATTAGTAATAAAATCAAAATAGTTTTCATTTTGATCTTTAAAAAAGTTGCTCACTGCTAGAAACTCCAAAAAGACTGAAAACTTTTGGCAAAAATTATTTTCCTTTATATAATTTTATTTTAATTGAATTGATCTGTAACTGAAATCCTTCATGAATTTGTGATGTCCATTTAAAAGCAAACAGCAAGCGATATGAGCAAAGCTTGTATTATTTAAATAAAAGTAAAGCAAATTTAATCTTTTAATAAATTATTTTTATTTGAATTATTCTTCAACAATTTGCATGTTTAACCAAAACCTTACCATGACACTCTATCAGTCATTGGCCAATAATCTAAATCTGGCTCATTTTGACCTTGGTTTATAAAACCAGTCCGTTTGTAACTGTGTTCTTGAATTCTTGATAACATTTCAAGAAATCTCTTAGAAAATTTATCAAAAGCTCTTCGGAATCGTTCGAATCTATGCTTGATATCCTCAATTTCTTGATGTGTGTAGAAATCATCATGTGAGCTCCTTTTATCGAAATTATTACTAAAGTCGTTCTGATCTAACATCAAACCTATGTCATCGTGTGCTAAATTTCTATTCCAGTCATTTTGAGGATTAAATCGAAGTTGTTTATTGGTTTGTGGATAATTTCGATTCCAGTTATTTCCGTTAAATTCATTTTTTAAAATACTTCGTGCTAAATTTTCATATTGATAACCGACTTGAGACCAACCTCCTTGAGCATGTACGCATGCAGTTATCACAGTCAATATTAAAATTGAAAGTTTCATGTTAGAGTTGATTAATTAACTTAATCACTTCCAAATTTAACAAAGTGATTAAAATTGCTTTGTAATTTTTTTAAACTTTTATAATATAAAAATACTGAAAATGATTAAGTTTGATTGACACTAGCATTTAATGCCTAGTTATAAATAAGGTTTGAAGTTGTTTTACATTATTTGTCAATTTGTTAAACTAATTGTATTATTTTTGGTAAAAGGAATCTTGAAGGAATTTAATTACTAGCTAACTGTCTCTGTCATGGAAAGTATTTGGACGATGACTTTAAGTTCCTTTTTTCTAAAACATTTTAATAATAAGCAATCAACAATTAAAAAATAAAATTTAAAAAATTTCTATTTTATTTGATTTTTTTTGAAAGAAAAAGTTTCTTAAAATTCTTAGAAGTTCGTCCAGTTATGTATTCATTTTAAGATCTGTTTGTTATAGTTTCATTCCGAATACACCAAAATCCAACAATTTTGTTAATTTTCAAACATTTTCTCTTCTGTAAAGGCGTTAAACGGCTGACGGGTTGATTTTGTATATGTCTTTGGCATAATTGGTGGAAGTAATGGAACTAGAAATTCTGGTGCTTTATCCCTTTTTGCAGCTGATGGTCGATAAGCTCTTTGAAGTTCATAATATTGAGCATTTACAAATATCACACATATTGCTAGTAGAACTGTTAAAGTTTTCATATTTGTCCTCAATTCTAAATGTTCATGTTTAAATTAAACTTTAAAGTTGTAAGATTAAATGAAAACTCAATATTTTTTGAAATTTTTGCCTCTTATATAAATTATTGGGAACTGCAGAAATGATTGGCATTAAACTTCAATATTTTGGCAGGTTAATTAATTTAAATTGCATTGATTGAGTTTGGAGTCTTTTATAAGTTTAAACATAAATTAATAACAATAAGGAACTAAACAGTTCAACGGGAAATCAGAATTTCTCACCAACCACGTCATTAATCTCTCAAATGACCATCCCAAAAAAACTTATAAAGCACAAGAAAATTGAAAAATTTGAGCGATTAAGAAAATTTTTTGTCATTCGTCAAGTGAAAATGCAAACATTTTCCCTATTTATTTAATGTCACGTCTCATGCTATGTTTAACTTTTCCTTCCTGTTTTTTACTCCACTGTAATCTATTATGAAAAAAAGGGAAACGTTTTCTTACATGCTGCACACAGCAAAAAAAGTTTGTCTCGGCAATTTTTGTGATAAAGAGTTTGTCATTTACAGGCTGTTAAGATATGGATTTTCCTAAAAAATCTCATTAAATTCTGTTATCACAATTTTTCAACATTATGTTCGGGAATTTATTCAAAATTGATGAGGTTCAATTATTTAAAATGCCAACACAGTCGAAATAAATAATTTTTGTTGCTTCCAGAATTTATGATGAACTAGGGTTGTGTAATTATTGACAACTATTCTTTTTCTGTGTGCCTACATGTTAGAATTTTATTCAAGACTTTCTACTGCGCATAATATGAAATTAATTATTTATTAATTATTATTCTATGGCACGAAAAGTCAATAATTCATTCTAAATATGGAGTTTTCAGTCTTTTAATTATTTTTAATGATTTGTAAGGAATTTTGGAATAATTATTCACGACACGTTTGAAGGATGTGAAAAAGATTATCGGACATAAACGTTGTGAAGGTTAAAAATGGTTCTGGAATTTCCTAGACAATTTGAAAACCAAGGAATTTTAAAAGCATCCAATTAAAAGAGCCCATTTGTCTTAAGAATCAAATCAAAGCTCTCCACTACTCTAAGCATCATGCATCCAAAATGCTCTCAATGTAAGCAGTTTCTCAGATTTAATTGCACATCTCTTCCAACGTTAACATTGCAAGCATTAAAATGTAAAGGATAAGGATGGAATTACTCATAAATCTGTTGTTTTTATTTTCATTCATATGACTTCATGTACAAGCTATTTACGATTCAAAAGCTTATAAAATATTTATATTTAAAATGAGAAATCTTAAAACATTGCGGAAGTAAGTTTCACAATTTTTTTTTTCTTTCTTCCCAACCCACAACAACTGACGAGGATGAATAATAAGGAGAGTTGAGTTTATGCAAGCAATTTAAAACGAAAAGAGTCTACGACAGGATTGTCTTATGTTTATTTTGTATGTTTGCTAGTTTGACATGCCATCCACAAACATAGTTTTGACGTTTCATGACAAACATTCGAGAAAAACAAGAAACAAGCACAAAATGATGAGCATGAGAAAGTAAAGCAAGCGGAAGATGAGAAAGTCTTATTTGTGGTTTCCTTTCCTTCACTTTTCTTATCTTTTTTCGTAATAATAATAATCATTGTGTGAGGATTATAAGAGTTAAGTAAAGTTACCACATTACGTTACAGTTTGAGTTTCATTTAATGTCTTCTATGACATATCATTTTCATCATTCAACTCTACTTCCTTCTTTTGTGTGGCTTTTAGTTTTCAAACTTTCATCATTATAATCTTAAAATGAGCTTTTTTTAGTGTCGGATGATGTAAAGCTTAATGCATTGTCAAATGATCATTATAGTTTTAATTGCTGGCTTCTTTGATGGGGTTTTGGATCTTTTTTAGTTGATGGTCGGGATGGAGAATTTAGTGAGTGCTAAAACTTGAGTTTAGACGAAGAAAATTGTGAAGACTTTTTTGATGTTTTTGATTAATGATTCTGGTTGATGGATTCTTTTGCATCCTTGATTTAGTAAAATTGACTTATGACCTTCAGCAAACATCCCAAAAAACTTTGTAGAAGTCATGACTCCCTCAAAATATTCATTTCCCGAAGTATCAAAATTATTGATGTTTCTAGCAAAAGAAATTCTTTTTTATGTTCATTTAAATTTATTTTCCATCTTCGATTGCAATGAAAAAGGAATTTAAAGAACAATAGAATCTTTCTTGTTGTTTGTTTCACGAGAAAGAATGTTTAATAAATTACGACAATTTTCCTTCAACAACTTTTATGAATAAAATAAAAGGGAAATAAAAGAAAGGAAGAAAAAAAGTTTTCCTCTTTTAATTTGAACAAAAATAACAGAACTGTTTCAGTAGTTGTAGTTTTATGTCTTAATGTAAAAGGAGAGAATTTATAGAGCGAAAGTTATGGTAATTTAAAATGAAAAGAACTTCTTGTTTGGTGTAATATTGTTTTAGTTTTAATAGCATTTTCACGAGAACAATCATACTTATCAACTCTTTTATATTTTACAACTTTAAAGATTTCAGATGAAAACCAATCATTAATCAACTCTAAAAAAGCTATGTTCATTGTAAGCACCAATCAGAAATGAATCAAAATCTTTAAAGACTTTATCAAAATGATCCTTGCCAACATCTTCACCATGATCTAGATAATCAAATTGCTGTTCATCCTGTTGATCGTAGAAATGTATTTCCTTATTATAATTGTTAAGCTGTCTTGGATTCAATAATGGGATGCCGTAAACACAGGTAAGAATTAAAGATTGTCCAAAAAGAATTAAAACATTCATTGTTATTTATTTCTAGCGATAGGAGCTAGCTTCGAGTATGAATTTCAAACTGAATAATCCAGAAAATTTATTTTTAAGTTTTTATCCTGTGATTGATGTCCATTTTAATTTAATTTTGATAAGCATGTGATTCAATTTTGAAAGCAATTGATTTTAAACCAAGGGTGTAGTACTGATGAAATGATCAAAAATGATCAAAAATGATCAAAAAAGATCAAAATGTAATTCTTCAGTTCGACACCTTTGTTTTAAACTTGAATTTCGGATTTGGGATATTGCTAGATGTCGTTAGTTTATGACGTCGCTTAATATTGATCAAAACTTACCTTAATCAAAAGTTTCTGATGTTGTCGATATGAGTTTTTTGCTTATCAATCTGTAAGAAGACAAGAAAAATTGCAAAATTCAATTTATTGTGCCTTAACATTTTATAAAATTTTCAAATCTAATAAAATAATGATTATTTTATCAAAATGACTTTTATTTTATATCCCAAAAAATTCAAATTAATTTCAAGCTTTGTGCATTTAAGAAATCTCACAAATATTACAGAATAATCTGTCACTTCCAATGAATCCTCATCTTCTTTATTTTCGAAATATAAATTAAAGCCTAAATTTTATAAATGACATTGTTTTCCCAAACATTTGCATTAGATGTTTAATCCCTCGTCAAGAATGACATTTTATTTGCCCAAAATAAAAAAGAAATATTTTTATTACAAAAGTTGTGTGCCAATGTGAATGAAAAGGTTTTTGAATCTAGAGCAACTGAGAATTGTAGGATAGTGTATTACTGGGAGAGTTGCTGTAATGTGAATCTTATAGTTTGAACTGAATGATTATCAAATTTCAAAAATTAAAATATAGACAAATTTAAAAATTCTCAAAGACTCACAAAAAGCTTATTTTCTTCATTTTAGGAACACGATAAAAAATTTTGTTTGTTTTCTTTTTGAAAGGAAATTTCTCCGAAAATGTAAATATCTTTAATGTGGTTTCATCGACAAAGTATACAGCTTGAATTGAGAAGCCTTCGAAACATAAACATAAACACGCTTTTCAGAGAAAATTGCATGACTGCCTCAAGTTACAATTTAAAATCAACATTCTAAATTTCCATCCCTTTAATTTCCGTTTACGTGAATCCTGTCTATGCATGCAAAAAATTAAAATCTCTCTTTTGGGGAACTAAAAAAGCAAACTTTTAATGCAAAATTTCTTTTTCATCTTCATTTTCTTCAAATAACAGAGGAAGATGCAGACACGAAAGGAAAGGAAAACTTTAAGAGAATTTATGCTTCCCATTTGAATCGTTTGCAAATGATGTACAATAAAATCTATATTTTAAGCTTTTCTGCCTTAACCGTGGATGCAGAAAATTATAATATTTTTGTTGTTTCCCCCACAGATGCATTGACATCACTTATAAACAACCCTCATTGAAACGATTTGCGGTATAAATTCACGAAAAAGAAAGAAAACTTTCGTCTGAAAGAAATAAAAATAAATCACGTTTCTATCTTTCAATGACTGCAGCTTTTTTCACTGTCTTTCCTTTGAATCTGATGATCCAAAAGCGAGTTTTTTTTTTCTCTTACAACTTTTTTTTGTTGCTGTCTATTTTATCTTTTCTTTGGCTAAAAGCTGTGATAGAAAGCATAAAAAGATGATTTTTTTTTATAAACCGACAATTTTCTGTCATCGTCAGTCTCCTTTATATCGTATCAATTCATCTATCATGCGGACTTCTTTCATTTTTATTTTCTCTCCTCTTTTAATCTTCTTACTTATTTTCTGCGTGTTTTTATGGACATTCAGTTATTATTAATAGACTTGCTTTCTTGATAATTTACTTATTGAATAAGATTGTCTTTGAATATCCTGTAAAATGGAGTAAATTGTGGTTTTGAGGTGAAATTTGGAAGATATTAATACCATATTGGTTATGCTCCATATTTTCAGAACATAAGGATAACAATCCTCTCCCCCAAACATCTCAAACTAAGCAAAAACAGAAGAAACCACTCGAAAATTTCATTTCCATCAAAAAAGTTGCTTGACTGTCACAATTTATTTATGCAACACTTTGAATGATATCAACTACAGTTGCCATATCATTGTTATTTGATTACAATTGCGAAACTGGTAAGGTTAAATGTTCCACACATGCTACACATCTTTGGCAACCACAGCAACTTGTAAATGATACTTTTTTTTCTGAGTGACACATGCTTATTAAATTTACAAAAGCTGAAGGTGATGATGATTTGGTTGTGGCAACAATGTGATATCGAAAATGATTCTTTTAACGTGCTTTGGAAGGAAGTGTGATGTTTCTTTATGAATCAGGTATTAAAGTTTGTTTCTTATTGAAAAAGTCACGCGATTTTGTCTTCTTTTTGAATTTTTGTGCTTGAAATTGTTTATTAAGCCATTTGGTGATGGGAGTGGGTTGAATTGTTCCGTTTAATAATGTTTAAAGGATGTTGTTGGTGAAAAATAGGGTTCGGTAAACATCTTAATGACAAAAAGTTTGGTTTTGAGAATTTTATGAGTTTAAGGTTGAGCTTATACCTAATTAATCTAGACTATTAAGTCCAAGAGTTAATTTATAATCAATAAAGATTATCACTTCAAAAACAGAAAGGAATCATCAATTTCCAGTTCCAATGCAGCTATTAAATGGAACCATCAGACAGCTTTAACTTCCTGGCTTTGAAAATTCCCAAAATGATTCCTTTTAATTGCTTTCCTTCATAATTCAGTAATCTGAAAGCCAATCATGATTTTACAATTTAATCCTCAAAACTTCCTCATTTGATGAACAACAAAAATGCTCAACTTCTCAATGTTTCTATGTAAATCGATAATGCTGAGTTTACAAGAGTTTTAATAACATCCAATAGTGCTTCTGTTTCGAAAAGTTTTCAATGAGCTCTATCCATTTATTTCACTACCAATTGCATTTTTCTCTCTATTCAACTTGAAAATTGAGAAAGTTTTGCTCATGCCATTTATGATTGAATTTCATCTTCCAATGCTCCTTCCATTTCTAATTTTAATTTTACTTCAAATTAAATTTTGCCTTGTTTTCAGTCATGCGAGCAATACGAGAAAAAAAAGTATAAAGGCAAGAACATTAAAGGGGAGTGTATAATGAAGATTGAAAGTAGCGAATTGGAATGATAATATAGTCTATCATACCTATTACTCGTTATTTTATGTTCTTGTAACACTGAGGAACTTTGCACGGAACAGAATGAGAAATTTTCATCTAGTCACGGTCGTTAAATAAAATAATTGAGGGAAGGAAAGCTCACAGAGTGTGATGGAAAAGAAAAGAAGTGTCAATTGAAAGCGACATCATTAAACTTAATTAGATTCTTTCGCGTTTTTGTAGTCACGATTATCATCATCATCATCATTGATGTCGACATCGGTAGTATTGCTGTTGATGTCTTTTATGTATATATCCATCATTTCCATCTAACTTCAAATTATACAAATTACATGAAAATCGTAAAATTTTCAATTTCTCAATTTGTTTACTTTCTGCTTTTCTCATCTCAATATCGCTGTTACATTGTTGTACAGTGGAATGTCAAAAAGTCTTATGACGAATCTTCTTACTGTCTAGTATATTTACATTTCATGCTTAGTCTATTTCGCCTTTTTTCTGGTTTCAATTTTATTTTCTTCGCATTTTTATTGCGGTTTTTGGGGTGGATGGAGGGAGACTCCATCATTTTGTCAGACTTAGAAAGTGAGTTATCTGTGTTGAATAATAAGTAGACAAGGAATGAAATGTGAATCGTCAGGAATGTGAAATAACGGAAGGTTTCGAGCAACAGTATCAAGGCTTCTATTTTGATTTTAAAATAAATTTAAATTCACAGCATTTTTTATTAAATTTACACCTTTCAATGTCTATAGAATCTGATGATTTGAATCAGTATTGGATCAGCGACTGATTTGGTTGTCCCGACAAGATAAGACTAGTTTTGTTGATATAGCAGCATTGGTATTACAAAATATCATTGATTTAATTGAGAATGATCTTTAACTTTTAAAAGACCACAAATTATGACTCATTTAAAATGCGCTTTTACCACCAATCACAAGATACACCTTCCAACAACCTACATAACAATATTTTATATTTATTCTGTCTGTTTTCAAAACACAAAAAGAACCTACAAAAATAATTCATTTAATATTCTTTCACATATTTATGTAGGCTTCTGTTCCTCTATGCATTTCCTCCCATTTCACCATTTATCATCGTTCAAGTCATATTTTACGACTCACGATTCCTTCCTCAAATGTTTATGCATAAATTTTTCCAAAGTCAATATTGAGCTTAGTTGATTTCCCTCTTGCCATATGCTTATTTCATTATTTTCCATAAATCAGTATCTATTTGTGAAGCATGTATGCATAATGGCGCATAGTACTCTAATTGAAAAGCTCTCGCATTTTTTCTAAGGTTCTCATTTCTCACATCCTTTCTTTAAGACTTGTGCATTGCTGTTTAAAAAACAAATTAAATGGAGTGGGAAAAAAGAAAAGAAAAATAAAAAGTAAGCAAAATATACTTTATTTTAAGTGCTTAGATCTTTAAAAAGGCATTAAAAATGAGAAGAATATTTTTTGTTGTTGTTAAGGGTTAGCAGTAAGTATTAAGGATTAGAAATGTATCCTATTACGTCTTCTCCTTTATATTTTGCTTAATTCTTTAGCTCTTGGCATGTTGAAGGTTGAAAAAGTTTCCAATTTAAATGGATAAAGCTCATTTGTTGGAATTTTATGGAGAGCTTAAGAACATGCTGTCCCCTAGCAACTATAAAACCATCAAGACATCAAACTGTAAATTGAAACACTCGGATTATACCTCAAATCTCACATTGATTGGAAATTAAATTCACATACAATTTCAGTCACCATTATTCAATTTCAAAAATGCATGATTAATCCTCAATAATTCATCAACTTTAGTTTTCAATCCTCGCATTCGTACCTAACGAAATGAGAAGTAAAGAATTCAATTACATGAGCAAATGCTTGAATTACAATGAGAGAAGATTAATAGATTTACGATGTGATCTTTCTTCAGTTACATTCATCATTTCCATTCTTTTCTACATGATTCATTAGTTGCTGAAAGTACATGACGTGCAGTAGCAATATAGAGAATGTATTGAGTTGTATAAAGACTTACTCATGTCGAAAAGAAAATGCTGTTAAAAAGAACGACGAGGAACGGATGAAAACGGCTGTCAATATTTAAATTCAGATTTATGACATGACTTTAGGGTTGTTCAGAAATGACGTCAATCAGTTCTTTTTCCTGTTGTACTAAGTTTCATAAAGTTTCACCTAAGAAGCGAACGAGCCCATTAGGAAGACAACGAAAA